AATTAACTCTACCCTAGCAAAACCCAGCCCACTAGCTAATTAACTTAGCAATATGGACAAATAATCTGTTGGATCACCAAGTTGTGACTTCTGTTTTTTCTGGACATTTCAGAAATTTCTTTTTACCTGTATAAGACTGAACCTTTAAATTAGTTTACTTTTCATTTGTTGCTCTGACTCTGATTTTCAAAGCCTTTTCCAGACTAAATCCATCTGAAGCTAATTTATGTCTATTTTTTAATTGAGCCAATATTTTGCTTTAGCTACTTCTTGTCCCTTCTTAATTTGCTATGTTCTTAATTTGCAGTGTTCTCAAGTTGTACCTCAGCTTCTATTTTTCTGATGTAAGCAAAAAGCTTTTTTTAAAATTCTTTCCCCATCTAGCAGTGGAGAAATGTTGCACTATCACCAGCCTGAGGCTATGAGACATCATTTGCAACAAATGAGAAGTCTTGCATCACTTTTCACTCCTTAGATAGGGCATTGCCTTGGGGATAGGCAGTGAATAAGCAGAGTAAATTTGACCCTCTTGACAAACAAATATCTCTACTGCCAGAGATGCCAAAATGTTCCCCGAGCACTTTAGGAACAGTGCATCTGTTATGAGGTCCAACAAGAAGCATGGTGGTAAGCTGTACAAAAACAATCCCCAGGTTTCACTCAACAGCAATAATGCTGCTTTTCCAAGTTCTTGGCAGTCAAGCTGCAAGTAGGATCTTGCAGAGGTTTACTCCCCTCTAACCTTTTCCAGCAGATTTTTCTCTGTAGAAGGGCATGATTGGGCCATCCAACTGCCATAAACAGGAGATGTTCAAACATGAAGCAACACTACAGCAAAATGAAGTAGTAGCCAGCTACATAGTCTCCTGGCATTAATGCTGGAACCAGTGGGTTATAAAGAACCTAATTCACTCTTTGTATGTGCAATGAAGTGGAATAACCCTTCTCAAGCAATAAAAAAATTGCAGTGGCTTCAGACCTCTGTAGCTGCAATCAGAATCATGCTTTTATTTCCACCAGGTCATTCCTGTACTTCTCTGGTTTTTGTGTCCCAGGACTCTCATGATGCTTTTCCAGGGCAGTCCTTTGCTGGCCTTTTTTAAAGTAAGCAGACTTTGATTAAGTAAACATTTACTTTGGTCAAGTAAACAAACAAACAAAAATAGCATCTCCCAGAATTTTAGCCATTTCATAACCACTGGATTTTGCATGGGCTCTAGGAGCTGGAAGCTGCTCCTCCCACTCAAGGAACAGCTTGCTCAGCAGCAGCTGCTTTCCTTTTAAGAGATTTTGGCAGTTTCTTGGGCAAGCACCAGAAAGATTTCTGTGGTGGCAGTCATTACCGCACTGCAAGTTTGTGTCATCCAAGGGATGCAGAGGCATTTCTTCCTGGGCAGCAGGGAGTTAACTTGCCTCCCGTTCCCTGCCTTGGGAATAAGAGCTGGGATGGCAGCCCATAGTAGGAGGGTCTGGATTGAATTCTCCAGTGAAGAGGAGGGATAACATTTTTGTGTGAGAAAGATGCTTGCCAAGAAATCGAGAGGGGAAGTAACATGGGAGAAAGGAAGTAACTCATCAGTGTTTGGGACAGACAACAGCAGTTTCAGGATCTGGGTACACATCAGGGTCTTGGATGGATCTTCCTCGACCCACATCACTCACAGAGAAAGAAAGCAGAAGGAGGAAATGTAGATGCCTTCATAAGCATGAACACTGCCAGAACCTCAAAAGCATCCAGTTTCGTACCAATACTCTAGGCTTACTAAATACCACTACACCACTTCTAGACAGGAGGAAACTGAGGTCACAGAAAACTTTTAAACATAGTTTTCTACCAGTATGAGTCACATTGGGGCAGACACATGTGAGAAGGGGCAAAGAGAACGGCAGCAGCAGCCCCAGCTGCTATTGCTCCTGACCACTTGAGGACACCATGCCAGGACTTGAAGCTCTAGGGGAAGGCTGCTGAAAACAGAAGCCACTTGGCTTTGTACTTCCCAAAACCAAAATACAGTTGGGTATAAAGAAGTGAGGTACACCATTGTTTCAAAACTTACAATTATTCATTGAATAAAATGCTACAAAAGGAAGGAAAAGGAAAAAAAATGAAGGAAGAAAGAAAGAAAACTTCTGGGATGCAAAGACTTGTTTTCCTTTATTTTTAATCAGCCATTTGAAAACACTGCAACATGACCAATTCTGCAAAAATGTTTTTCTGACCACAGTGTCTTGCATCCAGACAAACACAAGGATTATGCCAGTTCCTGGAAGAATGAGCGTCAGTAGCTTTTTTTAATACTGGAACACGTCTATTTGTTGTTTTTCTCTCTTCTTATCACCCTAATTTTGGGGATACTCAAAATTTTTGGTGACATCTTTTTTGTTGTTTTTGTTGTTCATTGGCTCTTTGTTTAAACAAGTACTATATGTTACCTTTTCCTCTGGTTGTTAATTTCTGTTTGGCTCTTTAGATTTTTTGACTGTACAATAAAATTACCATTAACAGCCACCCTTCTGCTGTTTCAGCCTGAACAACTTCCACTGGCTCATCTTTGTGCTACTGTTTTAAACAGTTTGCTTGTTTAGAAGTAGCTAATTAATTATTGGCTCTATTCAGCAAGGAACTTTTGAGGTCTGGGCTGTAACTTCTTTTAATGAGAGCTCCTGTTTCACCAGTGTGTATTGGAGAAATTTCCCTGGGTGGGATGAAAGATGGGACTCCAACTTGCTTTGCTGGGCAAATATCTCAGGCACTGTTTTGTATTTTGGTGGTACTGAGTCAAGACAGCAAGTGGACATGTGGCTTTGAAGTCTGTGAGATGTATTACTGTCTGAAAAATGGACGGGTGTCCCTCTGCCCATGGCGGTGGGGCTTGGGACTAGATGATCCTTTAGAACCATTCCAACCCAAACCATTCTATGTTTCTGTGATAATGTAATTCCAGTGTGTCTTGCTGAAATTAATTCAGATGGCATAATGTTTCACATATACAGTAATGAAAAAATCTCAGACTTCAAGAATTACAAAATCTGGACCAAATGAAAGGGATAGTTGACTAATAGGATACATGAAAGATAGAAAAAAAATTAAAAACATCACAAAACCCCCAAAAGAATCTATGGAAAGGTGATCCTGAACCACAATACTGTCTGTGAAAGAAGAGTGGGATGGTGTAAAACCTTAAAAATTTGTATCTCCTGTCAATTTGTAGAACTAAGTAGTGGCTGAAATTTGTAAAACTAATTAGAAGCTGCTTTAAACTGGATGTTCTGAGTGCGAACTGTAATTTTTCTACATCAGGGAGCATATCCCATTTGCGTATTGAAATACATCAGTGTATAATGCATTCTTGTGGAAAGGCAATGAACAGCCAGAATCCTTGCAATATTGTGTACTGGCTGTCTGAAAACCTGCTATGTTTTGTTTCTCTGCTAAATTCTCCTAAGAAAAAAAAAAAAGCCTAATTAAATCAAAAGCATCTCTCTGATGAGCCTCTCCTTTGATCCTTTGATCTCCCTCTTTTGATAATCTCTCTCTTTTGATAATCTCTCTCCTGACAGGCTGTGAATACTCTGCTAGCAGTACTTCATGCTTTCCTCCATGGGGATAACAACTGCTCTGCTCCTGGCATTTCCATGGCCTAGGATCTGGGATCTCTGGAAAAGGGCAAATATCTCCATCCAGCCTATTGGTGTGAGTGCAGGACTCCGTGTGGAACTAATTAGTGCTGTAATGAATGCCACAACAGTTGCTTGCCAGGAAGCATCTAATGACCTGGCAGTAGTCTCACAATGACTAATCAAGATTTTCTTTAATTCCCTTTAGCAATTTTACCTGATAAATTAGTGCAGGGAAAAAGAAAGAAAAAAAGAAAAAAAGCTAAAATAAAACTGTAAGCAGAACAGAGGCTCTGATTTAAAATATCTGGTGGATGATGCTCTCCTGCTTTCCTGGGGTTATTGTGTAAAATTCTTCTCCATAAATTCTAGAACCTTGCATACCAAGAGCAGAGTGGTTATGACTCCTTCTTCACTGATTTCAGAGGACTAGCTTTAAGATGATGAGCTTAACTTAAATTGGGTATGTGATGTGTGGGGTGCAACCCTACTACTAACCTGAGGTTGACTATTTTAATCCAAACTGGGTGTGTATTACCGGGGTTGGGTAAGAAAAATGGAGTTACCATTGTCAGTGATTTCTGCACATAGCAGGAAAAGTTTTTTATAAATAAATAAATAAAATTTAAAAAAAAAAATTAAAAAAAAAAAAAAAAGAGAAAGGAGATGGATTCAGATGCAACCAGAGCAGTCCCCATCCCATGCCTAGCCCAGCACATGGTGTGTAGGACTAAGCATATGCACAGACCCCTGCAGGATGCCGTCTCTCACAGTTTTTCTCACAACAGCAAATATTTACACAACAGTACAAGAAAGACAAGGAGCTCCAGGAGGGGCTCCAGCGAAGGGACACAAAGACTATTAGGGGTCTAGAGCATCTCTGAGACTGGGCCTCAGAAAAGATTAAAAGGGATCTCATTAATACATCTAAGTATCTCAATGGCAGGTGCCAAGAGGATGGTGTCATACTCTTTTAAAGTCGTTGCCAGTGACAGGATGAGGAGCAATGGCCATAAACTGAAACAGTTTATGTTCACTGGGGTTTCACCTCAACGAGAGGAAGAGAGTGGCAGAGCACTGGAACAAGCCGTCCAGGGAGGTCATGGAGTCTCCGTTTCTGGAGACATTCAAAATCCACTTGGATGTGTTCCTGTCTCACCTGCTCTAGGTGACCCTGCTTTGGCAGGAGGGTGGGACCAGATGGTCTCTAGAGGTCCCTTCCATCCCTGCCGATTCTGCGCTGCCCTAGCGGCGGCTCCCAGCCCGGAGCTCCCCGGGAGCGGGGGGCAGCGGCGAGGCGGGGCCGGGTGCATGTGACCGGCGGCGGGGGCGGCCCCGGCGGGGCTGGGCCGCCTCGGCGGGGCAGTGCGGAGCGGCGGCGCCGGGGATGCGGAGCGGCCGGGCCCGGGGCAGATGATGGCGATACGCGAGCTCAAAGTGTGTCTGCTTGGCGTGAGTAAGGGCGACCGGGGGGTCGCTTCCCCCTTCCTTCCTCTCTCGCCCCGCAGGTGGGGGCCGTGGCTGCTGGGGTGCTCGCTAAGCCGGGAACGCTTCCAGCCTCGCTGTCCCGCTTCCCGGGGGCGCCGCGTCTCCCGGTCCCGGGCGGGGCGGGGGGGCTCGGCCGCAGAAAATTCCTCCCCGCCGAAACTTGGCAGCCGTGCACCGGCCTCCGCGGGGCGGCGGGAGGCTTTGGGGGTTGTTGTTTTTGTCTTGTTCCTCAACTTTTTAAAAGCGAGAAGGGCGTAGCGGGCTGGGGGAGGCGGCGAGCGGCTCTTTTGGGGGTCTCCCCCAAGCGCTCCCCAGGCGGGGGGGGTGCCGGCGCCCAGCCATCCCCCCCGGCGGTCCTGCGGAGGTCTCCCTTTGGTGCCTGAACCCCGAAGGCACCCGGGGGGGATTTACTGCCCTCCCTGGGGCTCGTCACAGGCGGCGGTGGCCTCGCCGAGCCCCCGTTCCAGAGGGGAAGGCGCCCGCAGAAAAGCAGCAGCGCTGCCCACGCCGGGACGCTGTGTCGGGTGGCTCCTTCTCCCGGGGCTCGGTCCTGTCTCACCCATGTGCTGCTCGGCGCTTTGTTTAGTTACTTGCCTGGCTTTATTCAGCAGCGCTTCTCTGGCTCGACTCCTTACAGGAACGGCCTTTTTGCCATTCTTTTTTT